ACACACAAATTCTGTACATTTAATTCAGTAATGCCTATTCTGCACATTTAAATATGCCTTTTCAGAACCCTTGCAATACAAAACTATTGCCATAATTTACTGTGAATTAGGAATTGGGACGCATGGTGATTTTAGTTAAATTCCCCTGTGTGTGGAAAACAAATTAAATAAATAAAAACAGTTGAAAACTTTAACTAAACAATAAAATGTTCTTTATCATAAATGATTTAGTATTAATAAATTATGAATAATTAGGTACTATTGACCCTAAAACAAAGGACAGAAATAAAGAGAGAACAAACACTAAACACAGATACTGATCATTTTCAAACCTGTGAACGACCTTGCCTGGTGACGTCATTTGAGAAAGCCAATCAGATTAAACTGTGGCAATGTTTCGCCCATTGCTGCCGGGGAGGAGGGGGGGTGAAGCCAAGATGTGTTCTTTCTCAACCGCCGTGCTCTTACAGTGAAATGCAGAGGAATAAATTCAACATCGACTGAAAGTTATACTTTATTGCCTTGTGGACTATTATCATCTGATACGTGACTGTTTACTCGTGAGAGAAATATTAAGGTTGGATTTGTTTCCTCCCCCTCTGCTGCTCCATAGTGTGGGATCCTCCGTCTCTCTCGCATTAGCGCCTTTCTGCTGCTGCAGTATGAACGGACACAGGCGGACCGGTTTAGTACACGCGTATTTCGGTTAAAATGTTTGGCGCTTGATTGGGATTTTGGGAACGACTTCAAGACGGACACGTGGAATAATAAATAATGTCACTGCTTTGAAATTCGTTCTTGGGAAGTGCACAGGCAAAAGCGTGTACTTGTTTATTATTGGATCCATGAAATAAAGGTAAGCACCGACTGCGGTGTTTGTTGTTCAGAAACGGCTACTTTTGCTGACTGGTGGTGTGAAGTCCGACTCGTTTCAGCGAACCGATTCTTTTGAACAGTTCGTTTTAAAGAACCGGGTCAAAAACCGATTCAGTCATTTTGCTTTAAAACGTTCCATGTATTGTCGTTTAATTATTTGTTTTCGATTAGGGTTTATTAATAAGCGTGTTTATAATCATGTATCCCAGTTCAGCCATGATTCGGCTCATAATAACAAAGTGATGTGGAACCTAAACATATTTTGCACTTGCATTAAAATTCATAATAATCTCTGGCTTAAAAAGTTTTTGCGCGTTATAATTAACGTTTGTTTACTAAAAGCAACTATTTCTTATATGTCGACAAAACTGTTGTGTTAAACTTGCTCCCAGAACGTTTCGGCGATTCATCTGTTAAAGTAATTTCGTCCCATCTGTCAAATCCTCGGTTTTTTGTGTTTTATTAATTTTGAGGAATACTGAATCTGTGTTTTTTTGTGTGTGAGTGAGATGAATTAATGCATATTCATATTTATTTTGAACTACAGTAACATCATCTGATTTCTCTCAACATGGGGACAGGAGAGCTGTCAATAAATTGGAAAAAAAAAAAAAAAAAAAGAAACTTGCGTTACTTATTTGAAAAAGTAACTCGGATATTCTCTTGTAAATGAAAAAGTAATGCGTTACTTTACTAGTTACTTGAAAAAAGTAATCTGATTACGTAACTTGCGTTACTTGTAATATATCAACACTGCATATGATAGCATACGCGTAACTTACGGAGATAAATAGTAAAAAAAATTTGACACACTGACCAACATTAGAATAAGATGAAAAGCCGGTCTTTATTTATTATTTAAGTTTCAACGGTTAATAAGCGTTTCGTTTCATAGCGAAATTTGAAATGACTCGCGCAAGTTACTCATTCCAGCGAACCTAAAGTTAGACGCCGGTTTGTTTACATTTTATAATAGCATTCATACTGAAGAAGTAACGTAGTTCACCTATAAATAAAAATGCTGTCTTAATTTACTCGCCCTCCTGTTGTTGCAAATCTGTATGACTTTATTTCTTCTGTAAGACAAAAAAATGTAAGCTGCATGACAGTCCGAGTCATCATTCACATCCATTGCATATTTTACATACTATGAAAATGAACGGAGAATTGAGACATATTTTGTGTTTAACAGAAGAATCTAAGGCTTGAATCACTGTGATGCGAGTGAGTAAAAGGGGGATTTTCATTTCTCTGTGAACTGTTTCTTTAAATAATTGGTCAGCTGTTTGTGTACATTGACATGTGGAACTATTTCAGTTTGACACACTGACCAACATTAGAATAAGATGAAAAGCCGGTCTTTATTTATTATTTAAGTTTCAACGGTTAATAAGCGTTTCGTTTCATAGCGAAATTTGAAATGACTCGCGCAAGTTACTCATTCCAGCGAACCTAAAGTTAGATGCCGGTTTGTTTACATTTTATAATAGCATTCATACTGAAGAAGTAACGTAGTTCACCTATAAATAAAAATGCTGTCTTAATTTACTCACCCTCCTGTTGTTGCAAATCTGTATGACTTTATTTCTTCTGTAAGACAAAAAAATGTAAGCTGCATGACAGTCCGAGTCATCATTCACATCCATTGCATATTTTACATACTATGAAAATGAACGGAGAATTGAGACATATTTTGTGTTTAACAGAAGAATCTAAGGCTTGAATCACTGTGATGCGAGTGAGTAAAAGGGGGATTTTCATTTCTCTGTGAACTGTTTCTTTAAATAATTGGTCAGCTGTTTGTGTACATTGACATGTGGAACTATTTCAGTGGACATAAATTAATCTGTATAATGCTTGTTAGTGTTACCAAAAATATACAAAAACAACAATGAAATAAGATATTTAGTGAATTATGCATGTTTGTTTAGACTGCTGCATTCCATGCAGGATTCTGTTTAGACTGCTGCATTCCATGCAGGATTCCTCTGGTCCATCAGGGAGAAATATGTGTTGTGTCCTCACTGAACTAACCTCTTAGTGAAGGTTATTGCATCATCACCTGTGCTTCTGATAATCTCATCATGCTGTGATGTTTGCCCATGACCAATCATAAGATAATGTAAAACTTGACATTGACTGAGACTCTATAATCTGACGTCTGTCTTGCTGACCCACATTTCCATAATGGGCCTTTTCCCATCCCATGAAGACTCTATATGTGGCACAGATTTTTTTTTTTGATTGATTTGATGTTGATATTTAACACTGATGCATTGCAGGTATGCTGTTTACATGCAGGAAATAAAAAAAGTTAGTTCTTCTGATTGACTGGTATTTCAGTATGGATTGTCTTATGTTAACGTTATAAGTTCTTAATATTGTTGAGAAGATTATAAAGTAGCAAATACACTGATGGATCCTTTTTTACATAAACCATCCTTTGTTCACAGTCAGGTCAGTGAAAAACCAGAGCGAAGAAGACTCTTTTGCTGACTCAGCACAAACCCAGCTGATTATTTTGGCATCTACACCAGGCTTAGATTAGATTAGATGTTTGACTTTCTAACAGCAGCCATCAGTGGGAGAGAGAGGCTGTTTGTTTTTTTGACCTGGGAGCCAGACATGAAAAGACTGTGGGGTAGATCTACTCAACTGTGACCAGTTAAACGAAAGTTAGGTAACATTTACCAGTAAGAAGACCCAATAGATTGCCTTTATGGAGGTCCAGCGTGATTTATTTACACTAGAGTTCTCCTTTGCAGGCTGGCAGATAGTGAAAGACCATGCTGTGGGCCCTGAGTTGGCCTTAAAAGGAGATGTCTGCAACTTTTGGCTATAGGCCTATTGTTTATGCAGCTAAACTTCAGGGATTTATTGCCAACATTTTTGATTTTCAAATTGTGCACTAGCTTTGCCATAGGTTGTAACGGAAATGACACAGAAGTGGAATTAAAGAGATTTAATTTACTCCTTGTGAATGTAGAGACAGAGGAAGTTCTGTTCCTGTCTGTTCATGTCTTCTGTTTGAGTGTTTTCTATTCATTTGAATTGATTTAAATTAATTTAAAAAGTGAATTTGTGTGTATAATCCATCAAGATGATTAAGATTTTACTTATCAATTATTAATTATTTATTTTATTATCTATCTATCTATCTATCTATCTATCTATCTATCTATCTATCTATCTATCTATCTATATCGAAAAAGCAATATCGGTTGATCTTGACATACAGTATTTGTGCTTAATTTAATTTTAACTTTTATTTTGTCCTTCAAGATTTCCATTTGTGAAGTTGTGAATTTGCTATATGATTATTCTGGAAAGTAGAATAATGGCTACACTGATCAGGCATATTTTCCTCTGTTTCTTCCTTGTTAACTTTATTTGATCTATATGCGGTATCAGATATAAGAATTGATATCTAGCTTTGTGCAATTCTTATCACTTTTTATTAGGGATGCTCCGATCGATCGGCTGGAGATCGGTATCGGCCGATAATCACATTTTATGACTCGATCGGTACTCATTAACTTGGCCGATCTCACGAACCGATCGCAATTTGATGACGTCAATGTGTGACGACGTACATGATGCGTGAGGACATAAGTTATTTGGCGCCATAGCCATGTCATCGCCGGTGTGGAAATGCTATGATGTTTCGAGGAACAATGAAAAAGTCGCTATTTGTCGTGTATGTTTTGCATGATGATATGATGAATAGATGGTTCATTTTTAACAGCAGATTCAGTAACGTTAGAGCTGATCTGCGCCTCACTGCACGCATCTGCGGCACCTTACGTCTCCACGGCTGATCGCGGCCGCTCTAGCCAGTGCTTGTGTTTATGAGCCAGCCACGGCACGTTTCTGTAGCTGCTCTCCGCACTGCTTGGCTAAAAATAGTCTATTGTGAGTTGTCACAGCATGGAGGACCTCGTCAGAGCTGTAAGGGATAACGGTAACATAATACGCTGATCGTGGGCTGCTTTTAAATGAACATTTATTTATAAAACAAAATATCTTCTTTGGCCATATTAGCCTACTCAATAGCATTAACGGCAGCATAAATCAGACGGAATTACTGAAAATGCAAATGAATTCTCTGCCAGCAGGAGGTTCTTTAAAGCAGGAGAAACAGAGGTTTCCCCGGTAACGGCTGTACAAAGCAGCGCTGAGCTTACAAACGCTGCTTTAGCAGGCATATAACATGCAAGATGAAATGAAAATGACATCGACATTTTTCTAAAGATAGTCTTCCTTCAGAAATACAGTGATATAAAAACACTCGCGCCTCGTTTTGATTTTTAAACGTGCAGTTCATGCTCATGTTTATTCAACGAAGCCTTTTTGAAAATCTGTCAGTTTTGATATTGTGGCAAGCGCCACAAATAAATAAATGTATGGGAAACTCATCCCACAGCACAACCACCTGAGCCCAACTTCAGTCTACTCATCACCTTAACTGCGTTTGTAGCCGGTGCCATAGCCAGACTGATAAACATGCACAGACCGGAAGTTAACTTCGGGCCAGGCGCATGCGCCCGATGAAACGGTCTATATGAAGCTTGAAGCATCAGTATCGGCCGATCACCATGACAAGAAATCGGTACTCGGTATCGGCTGCAAAAATCCTGATCCCTAGCATCCCTACCAGAGTATGTGAGCGGAGCACGGAGTGGAGCGGTGTGATTTTAAATAGAGCGAGGAGCAGATTTTTTAAAAGTCGGAGCGTCGTGGTTTTCATTCACTCCAAGAGCGCTCCACCACCGCTCCATCACGAGTACAATGCATGCCAACGGCCCGTAATATAACTGCACATTTAGCAAGAATTCACGTTAAATATATTTAGCTAGATAGAGAAGGATCACTCAAATCAGAAAGAATGTGAAGGCTATGTTGACGGCAATGGACATAGCGGGAAGTTATAGGATAGTTATTAAAGGCAGAGTGAGGGATTTCTGGTAGCCAATGTTTATA